TGTTCTGCCAATGATCATAATTCCACTGTACCCTGATGTCTCAACGAGCTGGGCCTTCTATCCTTTCTAGTCACTGGGGGAAAGGAGACTATGTACTGTTCATGTCAGCAGCCTGCTTATTGCCTTGATTGATCAAGACATTGGCTTAGACATCGGGCTGGCTGTGTCACTACATGGTGAATGCTGTCTTCATTGTTCTGGGCTTCCTCCTTTACTGCTCACTTTCACTTGATCTTAGCCAAAAGGCTGAGAAGCGATACTGCTCACTTTCTAAACTACAGGCAGGCTCCTTTCTCTCAGTGGTCTAACTTTTTTTTCTCTCTTTTTAAAGATTCCAGATAATGGCGACCCTTCTCTGCCCCAGTGGATCCCTGAGGGGTAAGTAATTCTCGGCAAGGTTTCTGTGAACTTTATACAACCTTTATTACTGGTTCTTAGATTTTCTAGTGGGAAGTAAAAAAAGACAGGTCTCTGAGCTAGATGATTCTGGGCTTAAAAAAAGAGAACCCTGCAGACTGATTCTTCAGAGGCAGTGGAGGGTGCTTTCAAGTGGTTCCTTTGGAGGAGGAAAGAGAATTTTAGGGTCCCCCGTTCTTACCTCTGGATTTTCTGATCCATTGCATCTTGGTGATGATATTCCAGTCAAGTGGAAGAATGGAGGAACTAGAAAAAAAATTGTATTTGGAAACATCTCTTTTCTAGTCAGTTGATGATGGGGTGACTGATTAGATTACTGCCTTGGACTCAGTTTTGCTTCAGTTTTTGAGAGTTACCTCTTGCTTCATTTTAGTTAGACAAATGCAGCATCCCTTCTGAGCACTATGTGCCCTGTCTTTGCTTCTTGTCTAGGACTTTCAGACCCATGTTCATATTCCAGAGGGCCATTATAAGTGACTACCTGGAACTTAAGAGGGTTAAAGATGTGCATATCCCTGTGTCTACCCATCTCTTACATACAGTGGCCCTGGATTCTCAGGACTTCCATCTCCCTTGCCGCCTTCCTATGAAGGCCTTCAGATGCCAGAATTCTATGTGGCTGCATCTTCTCAGTCATGGTCAGAGAAGATCTGAACACAAAGTCAATTAGTACACTTTTATATGTCCTTATTCTTGTAAATTGTCTTCTTCTTCTTTTTTTTTAAATCCGTTAATCATGTACATGAACCACTACTTTTTTAAAATCAAAAGAGCTCCCTAAGAATTTGGTTTTAAGTGGGTTTCTAAGAAACAACTTATAATTGACAAAAATATGACAACAATTGTGGGTCAAAGCCTGGGAATTAGAGATTAGGAAGAGATGTAATGAGCCCTTTCAGGAGCCTGATATGTAAGATTAGCTTTTTTCCAGGA